TTCTCAAAGTAGAAAATTATATTGTAATTATTTTAATTTACATTTTTGATCTTCTTAAAATTAGCATCAATAACATTAGACTTTACATTTGATTCATACCTAACTAATTATAGATTAAAAGGAAAGTGGTATAACCATGCATTTTACTTTTCTATTTACCTTATTCTTTTAATTATTTTATATAATAATAATCAAAATATTCACATTCATATGGGCATTTTCGAAAATAATATTATTGTATTATTGTTAAAATTAGCATCAATAACATTAGACTTTACATTTGATTCATACCTAACTAATTATAGATTAAAAGGAAAGTGGTATAACCATGCATTTTACTTTTCTATTTACTTTATTCTTTTAATTATTTTATATAATAATAATCAAAATATTCACATTCATATTGGCATTTTCGAAAATAATATTATTGTATTATTGTTAAAATTAGCATCAATAACATTAGACTTGATCTTCTTAATTATATTGTTCATTCTCAAAGTAGAAAATTATATTGTAATTATTTTAATTTAATAAAATATAATTTAAAATTTTAATACTAAAATTAAAAGATTAAATAATAATGACTTTAATTCTTTAAATTGAGTATTTAGAAACTAAAATTATAGTTTCTCTGTTTTAAATAATTAAAATAAATAGTTAAAAATAAAAATCAAAACTAGTATTATCTTCAATTTATTAAAAGTGTAATTAAATCTCTATTTTCTTAATTTTTTTTGTTTGAAACTTCTTAATTCTACATTTTTGTAACTTCTATCATTATATTATCATCCTCATCTCCTCCCATGTTCTACTTTATCTTTACAATAATTAATATTCTTAAATAATCTATATTTTTAATTATAATTTTTTAATATATATTTCAGAAATTAATCAATTCTAATCTATTATTTGAAAAACTAATCAATTCGAATCAATAATTTAGAAAACTAATCGATTATAATTAATTATTTGAAAAAGTTATCAAATATGATCGATCATTTTGAAAATCTAATCGATCAGAATTGGCTTTCGCTCGAGCGAGTAGAGTCACTCAGCTGAAATACAACCAGAGACTTAACAATCTTAAAATATGGTTGTATATGATAGCGGTTCCACTTGGAACCGCTCTTAAAGGGCACTTATAATAGCGGTTAAACCTTAACTGCTATCTAATAAAAACTTTAGATAGCGGTTAACGTGGAACCGCTATTATATCCTCTCAATTATGATCGATCATTTCAAATTATGATCGATCAGTATCGGATTTCGCTCGAGCGAGAGTAGTGTCGCTCAAGCGAAATACAACCCGAGACTTCAGAATCTTAAAATATGGTTGTATATGATAGCGGTTCCACTGGAACCGCTCTTAAAGGGGACTTCTAATAGCGGTTAAACCTTAACCGCTATCTAAAAGATAGTTTAGATAACGGTTAAGGTGGAACCACTATTATATAGTTTCAAATATTAACTATTTTTTTTAATATTATGTTTTTAAAAGAGTGCTAAAGTTTGCTTGCTTGATTGCTCAAGGATGTGTAAAAGTCGATGTTCAATGTGTGTTTAAAAAGTTCAAGCCAAACTTGTTTTTATAGAAGATTTTCAAAGCTCTTGGTTTAATCAATCTGTTAAAATAATCTTTTAATCTGTTAAAAGTGCGGTTTAATCGTTAAAAGTGCAGTTTTAATCTGTTAAAACTTCTTTTAATCCATTAAAGCGTTCTTGATTCTTTAACAGATTTGTTTTAAGCGATACTGACAGCGTTTATATCAATTAAAACTCTTTACCAAAAATCTTCTAATTTGTTTTAATCGATTGTTTACGTGATTCAATCGATATAAATACTAAAAAACTTTATTGTGAGTTTTTCCAAGTGATTTTAAGCTGATAAAAATAAGGTTTAATCGATTAAAGCAGCTGTGTAGAAATTTTCTAAGTTGTTTTAATCGATTGAAACGTGTTTTAATCGATTGAAAAATATCTGATCGGTCATAACTCAATTCGATCGATCATATCTGATTCTGATCGGTCATAATTGCATTCTGATCGATCATCCTGAACTCTAAGTGGTTTTAATCGATTAAAACCAAGTTGTATCGATTAAAATACTGCAAAAACACTTCTCTTAGCACTGACAGAAGGTTTTCAAAACTTTCTTTAATGAAAACAACCGGTTATTTCGAAATTATATCAGTTAAAAACTTGTTTAAGAAAGCTTTTGTTAAAATACTTTGTTTTTAACTGCTTAAACGTATTTAGAGGCATTTTGCAAAATCTTTTAAGTGAAAAAACCTCATGCAGCAAAAAAGATAAAAATGATTATACCTAAGCATAGCTGAAGACACATTAATTCCTATTAAAGTGACTGTTGACTGCTACAAAGTTGACTTTGACTTTATTTTTTACTTCATCAAATCAATAAGATCTTTGTTAGAGTGTTTCAATAAGATCTTCATCACTTTCATACAATAATTAATATTCTTAAGTAATTTATATTTTTATTTATAATTTTTTAATATATATTTGAGAAATTAATCAATTATAATCTATTATTTGAAAAACTAATCAATTCTAATCAATTATTTAGAAAACTAATCGATTATAATTAATTATTTGAAAAAATTATCCAATATGATCGGTTATTTGAAAATTTAATCGATCATAATGGTTGTATATGATAGCGGTTCCACTGGAACCGCTCTTAAAACAGAACATCTAATAGCGGTTAAACCTTAACCGCTATCTAAAATATAGTTTAGATAGTGGTTAACGTGGAACAGCTATTATATAGTTTCAAATATAAATTTAAATATGCTTTATTTTTAGTATTTATAAAATAGATTAGTTTTAAATTTTTAACTTTTCTAGCAGTCTATTTTTAATCTTTGTTATTAATTATGTTAAAAATGAAAAAAATATTAATTAGTATACTTAAACTAATGTATATTGATTAGCTAATGTATATTGATATAATTTTTTTGTATATCAATTATATGAAAATAACCATGGTTAAGTAATTAATAATAATAAAGCAATAAATTTAAAGATTAGATTAAAAATAAAGTTTTATAAAATAAAATTGTAATAATTTGATTAAAATTTTATTTTCTTAATTAATTAAGTTAATGAGGAATTAAAATGTGATCATTTGATGTGTTTAATTTTTTTAATATAAATTTTTAAAATATAATTTAATTTCAATTGAAAAATAAATTAAAGAATATTTATTATTAAACTTTTCTTAAACAATGTATTGAATAGTTAATATTACTCTAGTCTTAATTTATTACAATTTAAATTTTTAATAAATTAGATTTATTTTTAATAATATTTTTATTTTAGTAATTTAAAATTAAAGTTAATCTTCATTTTGTTAATATTGAGACCAAAGTTTATTTTTAAAGTATCTTTTAAAAATTAAATTATTTTTAGAAAATAAATTACTTTTAAAAAATAAATTGTCAAAAACATACTAAAACAATTAAAGTATATTTATAAAAAAATAAATTTAAATATCATAAAAAAATAATGTTCGATTAGCGATCGATTTAAATTCGATCGCTATTTTCTCATTAGCGACCGATTATAATTCGGTCACTATTTCAATTTGTAATTCGGTCGCTAAATCAGTCGCTAAATGATTTTTTTATTTTAGTGTGGAATAGACACCGATTTAGCGACCGAAATTTTGCAACGCAAATTATTGGTCGCTATTTTGGTTGCTAAATAACAAAATGAAAATCAATTCATATTTTGGTCGCTAAATCGGTCGCTAATTGCGACCGAATTAAAGTGGTCGCTGAATCGGTCGCTAAATGCGACCGAACTAAATTGATCGCTAAATCGGTTGCTATTTGCGACCAAAATTAAATCGGTCGCTATTTGTGACCGAAAAAATTCGATTGCTTAATTTCGGTGGCTAAATGTCATTTTTCTTGTAGTGTTAATTTACTTTTTTTATTTATAAACAACAAATTATAAGAAAAGATAGCTATACTTTACAAGTTTCATTGATTGAAGGATTCACCGTAGAGATTAGTCTGAACGTGGTTACGAATAGAAATTTTTACACGATTGAAGAAAATTTTTAAGTTTCGTATGTTCAAGTACATTTATTTATTGTTTTCAATTATTTTGTTTAATATATTTTAATCATAAACCATTTTTCTATTCGCCCCACTTAATATGAATACTCCGTTTAACATAAAATTTATGAAAAAAATTATAAGTGAAAATTTTAAATCTCGTCACTTGTAAATTCAGGTTATCTACCATTAAGAAAGTCATGCGTGGAGAAATCTGAAGCTAAAAGTTACAAATATATTTTTTATGAATAAATTTTATAATTATTTTTTGTATTATAATTCAATTTAAAAATTCAAAGAACTACTGAAAAACTTACTAAGTTAAAGAGTTTAAATTTAAAAGAGAACTAAAACTTAAACGAAATGAAAATATAAACATAAAAAAGGTCTCATTTTTAAATTAAAGATAAAAGCTAATGTATAAAACTTATTTTAAAGCTTAAATTTTTACTTTATTCCACGTGGAGGCCTAGCTATTCACAACACCTGATAGAGGAGTACAAGAGAAGAAACCAAATCTATGGGAAGGTTAATAAATATGGAATTTTTTCAAAACGGGTGTAAACCGTAATGTTAAATAACAGTTTTAGTAGTTATCAATAAACAACAACAAATAATAGATAGATTCTTTAAGAATGTTGTTTTGATTATGTAAACAAAAATATATCATTAAAAACTAAATTTAATTTGATAACTTTTATATAAAGTTTTGATCATCAATGGAGATATATCATTAGTATACGTAAAAGAAATTATAAAAAAATAAAACAGGGTGGACTTGTCCTTTTCAGACCTGTCTGTCAACGCCACTATTTTCCATCCTCATCAGCATATAGCACAGTCACTCATCTTTCTCTTATTTTTTGCCTTTTTTTTTTTTTTCCTTCCTCTCTTTTCTTCAACTCAAGGAAAACAGCTATGACTACCAGAGAAATCCTTCACAAGATGAAGGTAAAGGTCACTCCCTTTTGTTTTTACGTAGAAAATTATTTATGGTTGGACTTGGATCACATTTTTATTTTTTTTATATTCATCAATTGAGACATGATGTAGATCTTCATTTGTTGGTATTAATCTTCATATTCGATTCTGTGTATTGCTTGATTGCTTGTGTTGCTTATATTACTCAAGTTAATAAGCTCAACTGTATGCCTTTTGTGGTTGTTATTGAACCGATTCATGCCGCGTGCCTGGTCTTCCATCATTGACTTTGACTTGTAAGAGAGTTTTTCCAATTACTTCTCTGCAATCTAATGTCATAATCTTTCAGCTATCTCCGATCTGTAGGAAAATATATCACCAAAACTGATGTGCATCTTTGTTTCCGGGATGAGATAAATATACCAGATTATGTCAAATACTTCTTCAATTGGTAATAATATGTATGAGTGTGTAAATTCTGATGAATGAGGGCTTGTTCGAGAATTAACCTGCTTATTCCTATGTTTTCTCATTTCTATGATACCTTAGGCTTTCTCAGATATGACAGAGTTACAAAATAAAGATGTTATGAGTGCTTTCTTCCAAAATCTGGTTCTTTGTGTCATTAAGATCCATCTGTTCCTGTCATTAATCTGGGGTTTTCCTCAATGAATTTTGCAAAAACTATGGTAAAAGAAGTTGAAGGCTTTCTAACTTTCTTCCAGGAAAGTTGTAACATCACAATTGAAAATATATCACGGTAAGCTTTTAACAATAAATAAAGTTCTTAAGAGTTAGGCCCACGGGCTACTCTTAGCCCATAGGGCTTGTGGGCTCTTTGGTCTATTAAGCTTTTCTTTATGTGGGCCTTTGCATTTTTGGTCTTTTAGGCTTTGACCATTTTAACAGCTCTAACTCAAAGTCTAACATATTTAGTGGAGATATGGGATAGTGTTTGTGTGATTCATGTGACCTATCTCACTTTGTGAGATAAACTTTGCTTGTTGTAATGGAGATAGTGGGAGGCACTACCGGTCTCTCTGGTGAGAACATATTTCCCTACATGTGATCCTCAGAATTGAATGCATCTTCTTAATGACTACAAGACTATATATGGCAAGATCAATCACCCACTTGATTAACTACTTAACATATTATAGCTTTAGCATGGGTTTATATATAGTCATGTGGTTGACATGAGCGTGTTGCTTGCAGGTAAAAGTTGGTTTGGGTTCATCAGACCCTGATTCAGGGAAAGGCAAGAGCAAGATGTCAAAGAATATAACTCATGGCTTTCACTTGGTAAAAGGAAAATCATATCATGACATGGAGGATTATCTTGTTGCTCAATTTAAGCAAGTAGAGAGCAATGAATTGGGTTTGTTTGCAATATTTGATGGCCACGCAGGCCACAATGTACCTAGTTACCTGCAGTCTCATTTGTTTGATACCATCTTAAAAGAGGTAATGCATGTTGTTAGCTTTTGCTGGTTACTTAACTGTAAAGGAGATTAATTTCAGGCATATCCTCAAAATTGAAAAATTCATAGTGTTGACTCCAGTTGAATAAATATGACCATTATTTGCAATAGAAGTTCAATCATGTTTTTATCTTGTGTAGCCTGACTTCTGGAAAGAACCTGCAGATGCTGTGAAGAGAGCTTACAGTAAAACTGATTCTAATATTTTAGAGATGTCGGGTGAATTAGGCAGAGGGGGTTCAACTGCAGTTACAGCAATATTAGTCAATTGTCAGAAGTTAATAGTAGCCAACATTGGGGATTCTCGGGCCGTCTTATGCAAAAAGGGTGTGGCCAAACAATTATCAGTAGATCATGAGCCAAACACGGAACATGAGGATATAAAAAATAGAGGTGGTTTTGTATCTAACTTTCCAGGTATGACATAATTTACAATGCATATATAACTTTGCCTCGATCTTACTAAAATGCTCCACTAGGTTGGTCAGTTGTGGATTTGTAGCTTCGAGAGCTAATGATTCCCGCTGCTTTTCTTATCTAGTTCAGTTGCTTGCTCTAAAAACTACACATTGTTCAAGTGCTAAGGATACAACTTTTGTGATTACTTCAGGGGATGTTCCACGGGTTGATGGACGACTGGCAGTCTCTAGGGCATTTGGTGACAAAAGCCTGAAGAAACATTTGAGTTCAGAGCCATTTGTCACAGTGGAGATTATAGATGATGATGCAGAGTTCATTATATTAGCCAGTGATGGATTATGGAAGGTCAGTTTTGACAAATGAAGCATGATGCAAGCACATTTTACCTATCTATCTATTAATGTAAATATTTGATGGGTTTAATTACTCATTTGATCCTATGTCTGCACAAACGAAAGATTTAGAAACTTCTTGCTTTAGTAAATTTTTAATCGTTCTAGTATCTGTTTATTCATATTATTCCAGGTAATGTCAAATCAAGATGCAGTTAATTGTATCAGAAATATAAAGGATGCTCGATCTTCAGCAAGGCGCCTTACCGATGAAGCAGTTAATAAGAAAAGCACCGATGATATTTCGTGCATTGTTGTCAAATTTCAGTGATCTCAAGACTCACGTTACATACTTTGATCCAGCAACTTGCAAGTGTAACATATATTGCGGTGTAATGAATAAATTGATAATACCTGATAGTCATAAGGTGGTGTTATTCTGTTGAATCCTTCATGCAAATTAACAATGTGGGCAAGATCTAGATTGTTTTATATAGACTAAACTTTAATCTGCGAGTTTGCAAGGAAGTTTGGTCTGTCAGTGATCTTGGAACCTTACTTTTAGATCACTGTCTAGGCCAGAGTGTGTGGGAATCTTTCTTATAATTTATTGTTATTTTTCAGAACGATCCTGGGAATGTCATTCGACAATGTCTTCTCATAAATAGGATGGAGGAAGATGGTTTTGCAATGACATAAGCATATCAATCTTTGGAAGGGGGAGACAAGGAACATGTTTGTCACTAAGCTATTTTACCATTTTATTTTCTGGAGGTGCAAATAAATCCTACAGATATATTGTGGAGATTTTGTTTTACCATTTTATACACAAATGAATCGACGAAGGTTATTTACACAGCATAAACATTTGACATATAGAAACAATTGGAGATACGTGAATTTGCTCAATAAACAATAGATTTTATTCTAATGAAGGGGAGGTGGGTGAATCAACATTTAAGGGTGATACAATAGAATACTTATATTGCAAGGCACAGAGAAACATACGAAACTTGCTAAGTAAATAATAAGAGAGCTTCAGGACTATGAAGGAGTTTAGATACGACACCACCTTTAACTGTTAGGAGTTTTTCATTCTGGTTTAGATGCTTATTCTCGTAACATAAAAAGGGGACTTTATTATATGCCTTGACATAATGTAAAGATCCATTGACAGAAGAGAGGGAGCATGCTGATGAACACATTGAGTTCATCTGAAATGGAAGGACCTGTAACCAGAATTCCTTCCCAAGTTCATCTGAATTCTTCCCCAGTCATCAGCATTTCTGCAGAGGCTTTCTGTATGGTGCTGCCCTTTGCTGCCGCTGCATCCTTCGTTGCAAGTTTCAGCATTGCTTTTCCGGCGCCGCTCGTTGTGTCTGGCCAAGCGTCTCCGGCAGCTTCTTTTAGCTTCGTCAAACTCTTCCAGCTCATGGAACCTGCACAGACTCATCACAGGTTTCTAACAAGGGAAATGTATAGAAGCAGTCCTTTGAAATAGTAGACACTTATGCTTCTTTATATGGAAAGAAAAGTTAAAAGATCTAATCACTGAAGTTCAATTCTTAACGGGTGTTTCTGATGTATGCATAAAAAATGTTTATTAAGTGACACAACCAAATTCTTTCGTCAGTGATCAAGGTTCAAGGCATGCCTCTAATTATAAGAAGTCTGTTCATAGTTTGAATTTTGAAGGACTACTTCAAAAGTAGTACTACGCTTAGTTTCAACATTTTAAACGCGTAATGGAAAAGCATGATCAACTCTGCTATATATAATGAAGATGATGAAGGTAATACAAATTCAAATTAAGAGAAAATGCTTTAGTTTAGATGAGGGATTTAACACCTGCTACATTGCTGGCAAAACCTCTGCCTCATTCCTGCAATCATCACAAAAGCTGCCTTGGAATGAACCTCACACACCTTATGGCGGCGATGGTACCTCTTTGCAACAGTTAAATCAGCACCACACATCTCCGCCTGACAAGAAGGTGGAGAAATTCCACCCCCACTTGACCCTCTTCTCCCACCACCTCCACCACCCTTCTTCCTCTCATCTTCTGCAAGACAGCCGTCTCCACCAGCCACACTTTCATCCTCCTCCTCGTCCTCATATTCTACTTCAACTGTGCTGTCTCTCCTCACCTTCTCAATTGCAACTTGCCTCCTATCTCTACTCGTGATCTCCATTATGAGTGCTGACAATTATGAAGAAGAAAATGCTGGGGAAAGAAAATGGTTAGAATTTTGTCTCTGGGAGCATTGTGAGTGAATGAGGGAGTTTATAGGGTGCCAAAAAGGTAGAAAAGAAGGGGGAAGGGGTGTGGACCACAAACTCCATTTTGTTGGTTGTTTGCTTTGGTTAGCATAGGGTGGGGGAAGTAATGCATGGGGATGTGTTTTGTTTTGTCTGTAATGATAAGCAAATAAAGCAAAGTTTAAATATCACTTGTTGTCATAAGTGGGAAGTGGGGATTGATTTTGCATGAATGATGTGTTGAAAGTGATAGTGCTGTCAATCTAGGTTCCATTGTGGTAAATGCTTATCTGATGGTGCTCAAAGACTTACAATTTCGAAGAGAAGGATTTTTCTCTTCTGTTTGTTGATGTGATTTCTGATACGCAGGTGAAGGACCCATATCACATGCAGAGCCATTCCACTCCTTCAACTATTATATTTACAGAAAGAAATATATGATATGACCGATGACTTCATGCAAAATCTGCATATTAAAAAGGGAATTGTTAAATGATAAAAAGTTGATATAATTATGCTTTGAATTGTTATGAAATCACTTCACTTATGTTAATTCTAATATATTTTTCTCCCATTATAGGATAAATTCGAGAATATCTTCATACAAGAGTAAGGAGCATAATTGGAGCAAAACTGGAAGAAGGAAGAAGATTTTCAACATGGAAGTCGCTCGAGCGAGATGAACTCTCGTTTGAGCGAATATCAATTATTCTTCTCTAGAAGTCAGTCGCTCAAGTGCCAGTAAATTCGCTTGAACGAATATCAGTTATTCTTCTCTGGAAGTCAGTCGCTAAAGCGCAAGTAAATTCGCTTGAGCGAATATTAGTTATTCTTCTTTGGAGCTCACTCGCTCAAACGAGCAAATTGTCGCTTGAGAGAAAAAAGGGAATTTTCGCATGAGAGAGCATTGTCGCTTGATCGAAAGACGCGATACACAATTTTTCCTATAGAAAGATAAGATGTGTTTTGAGAAAAGAAAGCGGTTTTGGGGAGAAAAAGTGCGACTACTGCTAGGGTTTCGTCCAATCTTCATCAATTCTTTATTTCTTCCACATTTGGAGCATTGTAATGGTCAACATAAGTGGTTAACTTCATTCTCTTGGGATTTGGAGCACTTCCTTTGAACTCTTTTGTATCTTGGTGATATTTTGAGATATTAATTTATGCTTTGATATTGTTATTCTTATCTTCTGTGCTTTGGAATGATTTATTCTTGATGTTTGGGGTATGATTGAAAAATATATCTTGAATCTTAGATCACGGTAAGAATATTTGTTACGTTAATTGCTAGGAATGGAAAGAATGTATCAATTGCTTAACACCCTAAGCCTAATGCTAGAAAATCTCTTACTTATGAGCGAAATCAACATTTATTAGGTTTTCTTATGAATTTCTTGTGTGAGAAATCAACATGGATGATTTGAGTAGGTGACATCTAATTGATGTGCTTAATTGACATATCCAGTGCAAAAAAGAGATAAGAAAAGAAATCAATCCTAAGTGTCTTTAATTGATCTTTTCTCAACAATTTACAGTTCTTTGTCATTTAATTTCAATTCAACTCTTTATGCAAAATCCATTTTGTTTTAATCCACTTAGTATGCGTATAATTGGGAATTTCCATTGAAACCGTTTTTCGTGGGATCAACTTTTATTTAATCGAAATACTATATTGCGATTGATAAATTTGGTATGCTTGCCAATAATTCAACAGGAATCAGAAAGATAGTACCAGCAGGGCTAATATGGACTTTGACACAGTAGGCTTGATATGAAGAGAAAATTTTCCACATAGATTATTGGAAACAAAAATCATGTTAAGTACATTTTAACTGCATCATAATTCCAACTAATCCAACATGGGAAATTAACAAGTGCTCTTATTGTTCACTCCCCATATGGAAGTTACTAGGAGTAACAAACTTAAACATCTGGTTTAGGTATATAGGTCTATTTTCTCTGTTAGTTGTATCACTAAAATATTTTACTGGGTCACAGTGGCAGATGTACTTGTATACTGGATTTTAAATCATAAGCCTGTGAAGTACTCATGGCAGTGGGAGAGGGTAGGAAGTTGAATGAGACATATCATATTTTTCATGGAAGCCAGAGGACTAGGGAACAGCAACAAGAAAATCACCTCTTCAACTTGAATTCTAACCAATAAAATATGCATATGCTTGGTTTCGCTTTGAATGAAGTGAAACACGGATCGATGATTCAAGTTCAAATATAAACTACTATGAATAACTTTAAAATTTTCACATCTGAAGCATAGATGTAAGATTCTAAATATCAAATCAAACGCCCACAATACTCATAGTTCCTTTGTTTTTAATTCAACCTAATTTGCTTTGTCTTTCTCTCACTCTGTCTTTAATTACAGGCAAATGCTTGAAAAGAAATAGTAGATTTAATGATGTATATGTGATTAAACAGTCAAAATATTTAGTGTTTGGAAATAGGAAAATATGAAACCTGTACTCCACAACCACACTAGCATATTAATGATATCATAAACTCTTTTGCTGATACACAAAATGATGAAACAAACTGGGAGGATGGTATTACTGCATTGGCTGGTAATCTTGACACATGCATGTTTCAATAGTACTACTTTGGCCACAACAATCATGTGGTACTGACATGACCCAGCACGCTAGCACCATGGTTTCACAAGACGGCAAGATGCCATTGTACTTGGCACTTGATGTGAGATTTCACCATGGATGGCTTCTAGTTGTAATACACAAAAGTAAATGGCTTCATCAATGTTACAAAAAAGGGGTTTTATTTTCACGTACTTTTTTGACTGAAAACAGGAGGTAATTTCATTGTTATAAAAACATAAAACTTGATGTTTGACTATTGATGTCTCTTAATTCTAGAGGATTTTATGGTTTTTAATCTTAAGGTCATGCCTGCTTAACCTTTGATGGAGTAATTAAAGTTGTATTTCAGTTAATTATTTAATTAAACCCTTGCATTCTTTAAGATAGAGTATATCAGATGAGAATTGACGTTTATAAAAGGGTCTTCAGTCATTTTCATAAACTTAATTAAGCACAACACAACTATTACTTCTAAATGAAAAAAGTCCAGATAAACTTTATAAAAACTTTTCTGAAAGCCGTCTCTAAAGGAGGGAGGAAAATGACACTTAAGCTTTAAACTTGACTTTTTTTCCTACTGCTTTTATCTTGACATTTTAAAGGTAAAGAAAGTTAGACTTGCACATATTTTCTTATAGTATGTTTCATTAGGCTCCTATATAATATATATATGATAAGGATTTTAGATACCCTTGTTATATATGTTATGTCACTGAATCTAAGTTTGTCTGTGCTGCATTCATAAGTTAGCCTCTTAAACCAAGAATTCCTTCAACTCACAATGCAATTAGTCACAGTATATATATTATATTGAAGGTGAAAAGTTGGCCGCATCATGACAAAAAGCCTGGTAAAGCTGAAAACTTAATCGATACAAATCAATTTTCGTGGCATAAATGATGTTTGTCCACAAATGTAGAATCAGTCGTGATATAGCTTGCCTTCTCTTAATTTCCCTCTGGCCATGAGAATCGGAATATCACAATGCATAGATTTCTCCCAAAACTCATGGCCATCACTCTCACGTTGCGTTGGGTTTGGTCCCCTTCTTCCTTTTATTCTTTCTCTCTGTTGTCAATATTTATCTTCTTTTTCTAATCATGCAACAAGTCAATATTAAAACCTAACTAGCCTTCATCCTATTATATTCTTTACGAAAAACAATTTTGTTGGATTCAGTAAAATATAAACATATTTAAGATTAAGAACTTGAAATTGGCAATGAAAGTGTCAGTAGACAACAGTAATCCATTAGGCCATAGTAATGTGGAATTGTGATCCGATGTCAAATGGTCCATCATGTTTGTGTGTGTAGCAAAGTGTGAAGAAGGAAAGCTGTGGAGAATTGTATACGAAAGGACAAAAGAAAGAACTAAGAAGAAACAGTTGTAGTGAGATTCTTGCTTTGTGTCTGTAAAGAAGGGATGGTGCAGAGACAGCTTGCATGGGCACTATAATGACTAGAAGGCATTATCTGATTCAAGAAGCTTGGAATTTAATGTTGGTCCCAAGATTTTGGTAACCTATGAGAATAAAGGCATAAAATCAAAATCTTGTTTCACGGCATACTTTTGTAGCATACATACATGATCAAGTGTTGAAATTACCTTTGTGTCTTCTTCAAAGATACAGAAAAACAAACCATTGGCCTCTTTGCATGCAATTGTTTTTCTCTGATCAAGGCTTTGTCGCTTTTGCCTTTAATACGTGGAGGTTTTATGGAAAACAAACCCACCACGGTATCCGATTCCGCTGTGTTTTCATACAAGGATATGTAATATGAAAAAATATTTATTCTCGAATATATATATATATATATATATATATATATATATATATATATATATATATATATATATATATATATATATATATATATATGTTTCGTATTTATATAAATTTTTATAAGTTTCAGGTTTTTTCAATTTGTTTAGTAATTTATCGAAGTAAATTTTGAAAGAGTTACGAATTTGGATAATTTGTAACTCAATTTTACGTGTTATAATTTTTTTCCCCGTTGAAGTCATAACACTATTTTATATATTTTTAACTATTTTAAATATAGTAATGTTACAAAAAAATTATGTAAGGCTTTTTTCTTTTTTTGTTTATTTTGTGAACCAAAGTTGTCTTAGTATGACTTATTTTATTTCAATATTTTAAATAAATAATATTTCATTAATTTTTTAAATGATTTTAATTGATAGGCATTTATTTAAGTTTTTTAAAATATATATATATATATTTTATAAAATTTATAATAAATTAAATGTAGTGGTTAAGTTTTTAATTATTATTATTAAATAAGATTTATGCTACAAAGATAATTAACTACATTGATAAAATATTTTAGTTTTATATATATATATATATATATATATATATATATATATATATATATATATATATATTAGTTGTAACATCCCCAAAACTATATATACATATTTATCACTTTAAAAGTAAACAAAATATAATCTATACTACTCTTAGCTTTAGACCTACTTGTGCTAAAATCTGCCCCCAAACACATGATCATCATAGTTAAAAATACATATAAAACACACACGGTAAGTTAGTAATTCAATTTAAGCATGCAAGATTCAAATGTGAGATAAAACAATATAATTCAACTTCAAGTTTTCATATATCACATCATCACTACAAAAAAAAAGCCTATTACCTACGGAATATTACCTACGGATACAAATCCGTAGGTAAATTTTACATTACCTACGGATATTACCCACGGATAAAAATCCGTAGGTAAATTTTACATTACCTACGGATATTACCCACGGATGAAAATCCATAGGTAAAGTGTACATTACCTACGAAATTCTATCCGTAGGTAATTATCCATTACCTACGGAATTACTATTTGTAGGTAAAGTGTACATTACCTACGGAATTCTATCCGTGAGTAATTATCCATTACCTATGGATATTATCCGTAGGTAATATCATCCGTGGGTAATTCCGTACGGAATTACTATCCGTAGGTAAATTATATTAAACTAAAAGAACTGTCATTAGGAAGAATCGAACCCAAGTACCTTAAAGTTGAAAACTGATACTTCAACCACTAAACTATTAGGATATTCTAATAATAATTTACAACTAAATTATAATTATATTAATTCGTGTAAATATATAAATATAAAATATATAAATATATAAATATATAAATATATAAATATATAAATATATAAATATATAAATATATAAATATAGAAATATAGAAATATAGAAATATATAAATATAGAAATATAGAAATATAGAAATATATAAATATATAAATATATAAATATATAAATATATAAATATATAAATATATAAATATATAAATATATAAATATATAAATATATAAATATATAAATATATAAATATATAAATATATAAATATATAAATATATAAATATATAAATATATAAATATATAAATATATAAATATATAAATATATAAATATATAAATATATAAATATATAAATATATAATATATAAATATATAATATATAAATATATAAATATATATATATATAAATATATATATATATATATATATAATATATATATATATATATAATATATATATATATATATATATATATATATATATATATATATATATAAATATATAAATATATAAATATATAAATATATAAATATATAAATATATAAATATATAAATATATAAATATATAAATATATAACTATATAAATATACAAATATACAAATATACAAATATATAAATATACAAATATACAAATATACAAATATATAAATATACAAATATATAAATTAATAAATATATAAATACATAAATACATAAATATATAAATAGATAAATACATAAATAGATAAATACATAAATACATAAATACATAAATACATAAATACATAAATAGATAAATACATAAATACATAAATAGATAAATACATAAATACATAAATATATAAATACATAAATATAAATAGATAAATACATAAATACATAAATACATAAATATATAAATACATAAATACATAAATACATAAATAGATAAATACATAAATACATAAATACATAAATACATAAATACATAAATACATAAATATATAAATATATAAATACATAAATATATAAATACATAAATACATAAATACATAAATACATAAATACATAAATATATAAATACATAAATATATAAATACATAAATATATAAATACATAAATATATAAATACATAAATATATAAATAAATAAATATATAAATATATAAATATTTAAATATATTATTATATAAATATATAAATATTTAAATATATAAATATTTAAATATATAAATATTTAAATATATAAATATTTAAATATATAAATACATAAATATATAAATACATAAATATATAAATACATAAATATATAAATACATAAATACATAAATACATAAATACATAAATACATAAATATATAAATACATAAATATATAAATATAAATATATAAATACATAAATACATAAATATATAAATAGATAAATATATAAATATATAAATATATAAATACATAAATATATAAATACATAAATATATAAATACATAAATATATAAATATAAATATATAAATATATAAATATATAAATATATAAATATATAAATATATAAATATATAAATATAAATATATAAATATATAAATATATAAATATATAAATATATAAATATAAATATATAAATATATAAATATAAATATATAAATATATAAATATAAATATATAAATACAAATATATAAATGTATAAATATATAAATATATCAAAATATAAATATATTTTATCTTTATATATTTTATATTTATATATATTTTATATTTATATATATTTTATATTTATATATATTTTATATTTATATATATTTTATATTTATATATATTTTATATTTATATATATTTTATATTTATATATATTTTATATATATATATATATTTTTTATATTTATATATATTTTATATTTATATATTTTATATTTATATATTTTATATTTATATATTTTATATTTATTTGTAAATTATTTTCAAAATATCCTAATAGCTTGGTGGTTGGAGTATCGACATCCAACTCTGAGGTACTTGGGTTCGAATCCAGCCAATGACAATTTGCTTAATCTAATAATAATTCAAAGTTTCTAAATAAAATAGACATCAGAGATCTGTACCTGTCATACCATAACTCCCCCAAGTGCATAACACAAAAGGTGTTCAATTCGGTATATACACTCACGTATGACTAGGGTAAATTTTAAATGACTTATCAAGACACAGTTCTTTTTCACACCGCAGACTAAGTCATTAAAAATACATGTGACTAGGGTAAATTTCTAAATGACTTATCAAGACACAGACTAGATATTGAAATAGACATCAGAGATCTGTACCTGTCATACCATAACTCCCCCAAGTGCATAACACAAAAGGTGTTCAATTCGGTATATACACTCACGTATGACTAGGGTAAATTTTAAATGACTTATCAAGACACAGTTCTTTTTCACACCGCAGGCTAAGTCATTAGAAACCTCTTTCAAATCTTACCACCTGATCCTTTCATCTATGTGATTCTAGTAATTAGTAAAGTTAGGATATCTCCTCAAGTCTCAAGTCAATATCTATACATATAACACCACACATGAGAATACCCCTTGGTAATTCTCATATCACAACACTACATTTTCAAGGCATATAATAGTATTCAACAAACCTCATTTCATGTTCATAATATGTATATTAATAGCTTAAGGCACATACACTTCATTTCTCACATTATAACAAAACATAATTTTTTTCTAACTTGACTTTACCTATTCCTTTGATCATAATTCTTTTTTGTAGACATCCTTTTTAACTAATTTTTATTTTATTGGATTCCTTATTTCGGGTCTTTGATTTTCATATATAAAACATTAAATTTGAAGTTCGGAGCTACTTTTTATGATTTTTGGAAAACTACTGAACAAACTAAAAGCGTTGAGCAGACTTTAAAGTACTGAGCGGATTTGAAACCATTGAGCGAAATTTTGACAGAATGGAACCTCTAACACTGTCCAAAATTTGTTGGATGAATTTGAAAGTGTTGAGCAGATTGTAAGTGCTTTCAACACTGTCTTAAATTCGCTGAGTGAATTTGATAGATTACATAATATGCTCAATACCCTATTTCTAATGTTCCAAATCAAATTAATTCTAAACCTTACCCTCCTTATTATAAATTAATTCACTAAATTCAATCCAAGAATAATACATTCATACAAAAGACTATCTTTTTTAATCTCATATAAATCAATTATACATTCACATTCAATACCATCATCACAAATCATACAATCTAAATTCCTAAAAATTAAACAATATGATCAAGTCACATTCACAATCCAGATCTTCTAGCTTAGAGTTGATGAGTCCCTAGTTGCCTCGGAGGCGGGAGAGGTAATCTCTAAGAGGATTACTAGAAGCATGACTAGAAGGGAGACCTCCTTTTCACCTTCCATTTTGAATTTACTTAGTATTTTTACTTAGTATTTTCTTTTTCTAAGTTTTTCACTTATTTTCGCTTTCCTTTTGTAGGCTCACTTTTTGCACCTCCTTTTTGAAGAATACCACCTCTTTTTGGTGAAAAGGAAGCCTTGGATCCATAGAATACATGCATGGGAAGCCCAAAGGTGTAAGACACTCCTTTTTCATGTCCTACACCCCTTTTTGGAGAGGAAGAAGCTTAAGATGCGGGATTGGTAAGCTTGGGACAAC